GGCAGTTCCACCAAAACAGGATGTCCTGGGTGGTGGAGCCAGGGTCCTTAGTGTCCTTTTTCTTGGGGTGTATGAACAAAGCTTTATGACAGAATGTAGGAAGTCATGGGCATCCAGTAACTCCCCAGATACCTACTAAAGACACGACATAGTATGATGTTAATAGCATTCAATTACCAAACATCAGGATAAAACACACTAGAAGAGATACCATATGAAAAAGAGTATCTCCTGTGATTTGCAGGAGTCAATATAACCCATAATACACACAGCAAATAGTAAAGCTGTGTGTGTTAAAAGAACAAACTGAGGAAACTGCCAGGGAAGCATGGGAAAGATACTAGAAACACACAGTGCACCTCAGCTTCCTGTATTCAGTGAAAGCAAAATCTGAAGCACAAGGGATTGGTATGAGAAATTCACCAGTAAGAGAAGCCCATGTATGGCACCATCTAGGCCAGTGGTTTCTCTGAGCTTTTCCGTCCTGTTACTCCAGGAGTGGAATAATAAAAAATAAAGACTTAATGATGTTAGGACGCTTGAGCAGCTTGGTTTTATGGCTTGAGCAGCCCCTGACCTGATTGTGCTCATTCCTTGTCCCTTCTCCACTTGGTTGACAGTACTTGCTCATGTGTAGCTGCATTGGGAATAGGTCTACGAAAGTTACCCAACTGCAGAGTAGCACTCATCAGTCAGGTTAATTCATTGTCAACTGGACAGCCACCAGTTTGCTGCTGAAGCAGAGCACCCGCCACAGCCGCTGTCTCTGATCTCTCTCCTCATGGTCCGAGTTGAAGTTACTGAAGAGTTTAAACGAAGCCTGAAGCCTGTAAGCAATTTAGAGAAGAATCAGTAATCCTGGTTGTAAGATTGGAGGGATAGATTGCACAATATTTAAGTTGGAGCAACTCAGCAACTCAAATTTGTGCATAGCTAAAGGTATTTTAGAGATATTTTTTCAAGGTGAGATTAATGTTGGATGTGGAGTGAGATGTTTGCACTACACCAAAGTTTATGAAATGTCTTACTTCTCTTGTAAAGTAAACTTCTGTTGCCATGTTGAAATACAACATCAATAAAACACAGAGCACTTGTGTACCTTTTGAGATTCATACAGTGAAATTGGTGGATAGCTTGGCAATCTCTTGTCACCATGTTACGAAAACAGAAGGGGAGAGGAGGTAGGAAAGCAAATTTCTTCATTCAAAACCATAGGGGGTTGCAACAACACCACACAGATAATGGCTTTTTTTGCAGAGAGGGCAAACCACTACCACTGAATGGATTGACAGGGCAATTGGGTGGTCAAGGCCAAGAAACCAGAAGTGGTGTTTTGTGCTCTTTCTTAAAAGCACGTGCAAAACAAAGATAAACTTCTGTCTAGTGCTTCATCTGCAGTATTCTAAAAAATATAGAATATAGATAGATGTGGGAAAGTGAGGTTGGAGTGGGGGAAACAAGGTGTGAGTTCAATGCCAGGAGAATGTAGCAAGATAACGGCTTTGAAGAGAATTAATAGAAACTAGAATGACAGCACAATCTACGCTGTAAATTGTTACACAATAACAAACATAAGTCAAGGGTCGCAAATCAGGGTTCAGAATTACCTAAGAAAAAGTTTCTCTGTGCTAGAAGTCACTGTGGCTGTTCCCATAATTTTACTTTCAAGTTCACGTTTGCATCTCAGCAGATTTGTATACGAAAACAGAGGGGAGAGGAGGTAGGAAAGCAAATTTCTTCATTCAAAACCATAGGGGGTTGCAACAACACCACACAGATAATGGCTTGGCAGGCAGAGAGGGCAAACCACTACCACTGAATGGATTGACAGGGCAATTGGGTGGTCAAGGCCAAGAAACCAGAAGTGGTGTTTTGTGCTCTTTCTTAAAAGCACGTGCAAAACAAAGATAAACTTCTGTCTAGTGCTTCATCTGCAGTATTCTAAAAAATATAGAATATAGATAGATGTGGGAAAGTGAGGTTGGAGTGGGGGAAACAAGGTGTGAGTTCAATGCCAGGAGAATGTAGCAAGATAACGGCTTTGAAGAGAATTAATAGAAACTAGAATGACAGCACAATCTACGCTGTAAATTGTTACACAATAACAAACATAAGTCAAGGGTCGCAAATCAGGGTTCAGAATTACCTAAGAAAAAGTTTCTCTGTGCTAGAAGTCACTGTGGCTGTTCCCATAATTTTACTTTCAAGTTCACGTTTGCATCTCAGCAGATTTGTATGTTACTCACAGCTTTTTGTTTAGATTAAATTGTGTGCTTAGTTTAGTGTGATGGTAGATTGGGGAAATGGCATCACTGAGGTAGACTGGGAGCATCCTGGGGGAAGAAAGGAGGTCGTTTTCAGGGCCACCAAGATGATCAAAGGCCTGGAGCACCTCTGCTGATGACAGGCTGAGAGTTGGGGCTGTTCAACCTGGAGAAGAGAAGGCTCTGAGGAGACCTTATAGCAGCCTTCCAGAACTTGAAGGGGGCCTATAGGAAGCTGGGGAGGGGCTTTTCATCAGAGAAGATAGTGATAGAACAAGGGGTAATGGTTATAAACTGAGAGAAGGGAGATTTAGGTTAAATATTAGGAAGAACTTCTTCACTACCAGGGTGGTGAGGAACTGGAATGGGTTGCCCAGGGAGGTTGTTGATGCCCCATCCCTGGAGGTTTTTAAGGCCATGTTGGATGAGGTTTTGTGCAACCTGGTTTAGCGGTAGGGTTCCCTGCTTATGGTTGGAGCTTGGTGATCTTTAAGGTCCCTTCCAACCTTAATGATGATTCTGTGATTCTATGAATAACATGCTACTGGCTAGAGTAAAGTTTTCTCTGTAAAGCCTAAATGCTTTTTGCAGGGGTTACTGTGATCAGAGAATGTGAATAAGTTATGTTGGGTGCTTGTGTATGTTGAAGATAATTTGAAAGCACTTCATATAGCATAAACAGTGTATGCACGTGTAAATGTGAGAGAGACAATTGTGTTGCAGTTGTCTTGTGAGTCTGGTACACTTGAACTAAACAGGTTTTTTTCTGAGGAATTGTAGATAACTGAATTCTAGTGGGATGTTACGCAGTTACCTGTCTGTGTCTTTAAGTCTGGGGAATGCAATACAGAGCGCTCGGGAAACACTGCCAGCATGTCCTAGGTATTTTCTGGACTGGGTAGTCTTCAGAACTTATACCTTCTTCATCTTTAAATATGGTAGTAATGATCCACATCTGCAGAGGACATTTGTTAAGATGCTGTAATAACGTTACAGTTAATAATCTGTCTTTCAAGAGTTCATCTTGGCACACTGTCCAAAGTAAAGCTCTGCATACCAAGAACTCAGGCAATCCTCAGTTCATATAATATTTTTTTTTTAGGATTGTGGCATCAGGCACCTGAAGGGCTCACTTTTCTATTTGCCAGAAGTGCACAATGGGACTGATATAGGGAAAAGAAAATACTAAATTACACAAGATTATGAAGCAAAAACCAATTAATAGGCTGTAGCAACAAGAGGAGAACCAGAATGTAAGGTGAAAAGAAGCATGGGATAATGAAAGGGTGGAGAAGTGAGTATGAGGGGAGCAGTAGGAAGAGATGCAGGAGGACAAAAGACATGAAGCCAGCAGGGAGGAGTGCTGGAGATGAATAACCTGGTCTTTACTTCAGCTTGGGAGGGGCAGCACAGAGTGAGACTTAGTAGGAGGCACCAAGGGTGGCGGTTTGTCATGAGTTTTGCCTGGGGTGGTTTTCCCCTACTTTCATAGTGGTGTAATGTCTTTTTCCTGCCCCGTGCTCAGACAAGAACAAGGGATTAATGAACACTTTTGGAATTAGCAAGAGAAGCTCTCTTGTCAAGTTTCCCTCCAGAAAGCAAAGCAGAAACATGTTGATTTTTTCAGTGCCCTCAATTTTGGTAGCTGTGAGAAGACCTTAATAGAAATAGTAAGGCAAAAATTGCTTTTTGTGTTTAAATAAATAATTGTATGCTGATAATTTGAGCTCATGGAAACAAAACACTGAATTTAAAAGCTACATAATTGAGTCCCACTTCCTCCTGTGTTTTCTCCTTTTAATCCTTTCTTTCCATAAACATACACTAGTATGGTAATATATACTACAGATGTTGCAAGTATTAAATAGTACAAAGCAGATTTCAAACAAGGCAACCATTTTCAAGATTTGCTTCAAGGGATTTTGAGAAATGCAGCAGTGATGTCCTACGTCAGTGTTTCACAGTAGCTTGATTCCCTCTTGAAAGAAAGGCGGCTTGTCCACATGAAGTTTTCCTTCACTTTGCTTCCCACCCTTGTCTTACCAGGATTACAGGAAACTTTGTATCCAGTACTTCAGTGGAAATTCTGCATGTCAAGATACATCTTCATCCCACATTACCAATGTGGTTAATGCTGTGTTCTTTGTTTTGCATTACCTACTGGTGACCTATCCCTGATACGGATCAATGCTGATGTCAGGGACTGTACAGTAACAAGATTTTGCACCTGGCAGTGAGGAAGCCACCCCATTGAGCAACTTCTGAACAACCGTCATGAGAAAACTGTGGCATGTTTTAAAATCCCCTGGACAGGGCCTGAGTCATAATTATCTGACAGCATATTTACAGAATAAGCATTTGTCAGAATGATTTATAACACTGTGCCCAGCTGGGTTTTTTATATAATGTTTATTGATGGAAACGCCCAAAATCTTGCCTGAGCTGACAGCATTTGCTGTATCTGGTTGGGGAGCATTTGCAATATCTGTAGTTTGCTTTGAGGGGAGGAATTGTTTGGTTTTAGTTTGAGTACTAATTTGTGTTGACTGATACTCATCCTGGTTGTGAAACAAAATGAGGTTTGTAACCATTCTCTAACGTTAAAGTCAGCTACATTAAATGAAAATAATGTCTTCTATATCATATACACAGAGTTTTAAAAAAATTGTTAAAAATATTTTTAAATATACTTTACTTTTTTTTTTTTCTTTTTCTCTCCCATTTGAACTTCTTCAGTGCGGTTTATTTTGTGAGACACAAAGAAACCAGACAAAGATTTGCCATGAAGAAAATTAATAAGCAGAATCTCATCCTCCGAAACCAGATCCAACAGGCCTTTGTAGAGCGTGATATCCTGACATTTGCAGAAAATCCGTTTGTTGTCAGCATGTATTGCTCCTTTGAAACAAGGCGTCATTTATGCATGGTTATGGAATATGTAGAAGGTAAAATGTCTGTTGTGGCTTACAGAGGAAGAACACAAGTTTTCTTCCACAAAGAAAGAGAAGTAACCCATATGGTACTTGCATTAGAAAGGTCTCCTGTGTGTCCTCCCTACTCAGGCAGTGCAAATGTAAGATCTAGGTGGCTTTCTTCTCAGTCATGATCTCTCAGTGAGTGCCTGTAAAACTCTTGTACTCCATCTATAATGGGAAATAACTGCTCTTTGAATAAATTCCTCATAGCTGTAATTGTAAGCTTTCTAGCATTCACAGTTCACATGGGAACACTGTTTTTCTGGAGTTCAAATTTTCATTAGCACATGTTGGTGTATTTATAATATTTTAATGAAGAAGGAGGGAAGCGACTTTAAAAGGTACTGATGAAAAGGGAACAGTGGGCAGGATAGTGCAGGATGAGATAGATACCCAGACTATGGTTGTGTGGGTTGTTTTTTTTTTTCCTTTTCTGTTTTTTTTTAAGGAAGCAGCACACACTGTTTTGATTTCCAGCTGAACTCTCGTACTGCTTTCTCCCAGCTTCACACAGTAGTTGGTGTGGTTACAAGTTCAATTGAATCAGATGATGTGAAAATAAATACTTAAGACTACAGATTGTATTTCTTTATGCAGCTTAATGGATTATACTGATACACTTCAAAATATTTAGCATCATGTGGAGCACTTTTCCTGTTCCCACAGGTGGAGACTGTGCTACTTTGCTCAAGAATATGGGTCCTTTACCTGTAGACATGGCAAGGATGTACTTTGCAGAGACGGTTCTGGCATTGGAATACCTTCATAATTATGGAATTGTACACAGAGATTTGAAACCAGACAAGTATGTTTATGGAATAATCCTAAGGGAGGACTTAGAAATTGATAGATAAAATAAAGGAGTAAACTTGCTTTGAATGTATTTAGAAATACAATATTGCTCCTACATATCTTAACATGATAACAAGTAGCTGCAGTAAGAGGTATGGCTTAGAAAAAAGAATCGGAGTCATGTCTGTTGAATGACAGTATCTTCATAGCATGATGTCTCAGGCCAGTGTAGCATTAGTTACTAACTTAATACCTCAGGGTTTTTTTAAAATTAATGGCCCAGCTTGTTACAGAAAATGCTTACCTCACTTCAGAAGTAACATTCATTCTATGTCTTTCAGAAGATGACTGTTGCTTTTTCTTCAAGGCATCTAGCATTCAGCTGTTAACACTTTTGTGGTTCTATAAGATGTGTAGTTGCATGTAAAAAGTTTATTTACATCTGGTAGTAATAAGTAACCAGTTGAAGACAGTCAACTTTTTAACCTTTTAACATTGTATCTGGTTACATTACTTTTTAAACCATTTTTCTATTTTTTCAGGGCTAATAAAACTTTTTTCTAAATTGTAATAATAACAGTAATGATAAGCACATAATATTGAATTATATCACAGTAACCAGACAATTCTAATTTTCAGTTTATTGGTAACATCCATGGGCCATATAAAACTTACAGACTTTGGCCTGTCGAAGGTGGGGCTGATGAGTTTGACTACCAATCTCTATGAGGGTCACATTGAGAAGGATGCCAGAGAATTCCTTGACAAACAAGTAAGACATCATTTCTAATTTCTATATTGATTGTTCAAATGAACTGACATTTTTTCAGCAGAATGTACCATAATGCTGTATAAACTGTTGTTACTTCTGCATTGGTGTTCCAGCTTTGTATGTTAGTTACTTTTTTTGATGCCTTGCCGATTATTTAGGCTTTTTTCTTTCTACATCAAATCTATTAGTAAGATGAACAACTTAATTTTGTGCAAGTGAATTTGTGAGAAGACAAATGGAAAATGGTTTTATAAGGAACTCAGAAGTCTCAGCAGAGTACTTGTGGAGCTCATGATGCATAGTAAAGCCAAGGGTGCTAAAATCTTTACTATGGCCCATTTCCCTTTAAGCATGCCTCATTACCATGGCTCACAATCTGTTCACTATAAAAGTTACTTAATGTAAAACCATCATAACTTTCATGTAAAGATAAGTATATGTTCAAGTTAAATAAAATATTTTCTGTGTATGAAACCCAAACTGTCCTTTGTGTGACAGAAACACAAATGTTAATTATGATGACTGTAAAAGTAGCTAGGTCATTCTAAAAACATAATCTGTTACGCAAATCCAGCTGACTTAAGACCTACTGAATTCCATTTTTCCATGTTTCCATATTATTTCTAAATTTAAAGAGTTACAAATTATGTAACATAGCACAATTAAACTTGCTTTTACTATCATGTTTAATTTCTTTGTTTTAGGTCTGTGGTACACCTGAATACATAGCTCCTGAAGTGATACTGAGACAGGGTTATGGAAAACCAGTGGACTGGTGGGCTATGGGAATTATCCTTTATGAATTTCTTGTTGGGTGTGTGCCATTCTTTGGAGATACACCAGAAGAGCTGTTTGGACAAGTAATCAGTGGTGAGTATCATCACAAAAAAGCCCCAGATTCATTAGTTTGGGATTAAACACTTCAGCTTCTGTTAATACTGGAGATATTTACAGCTTTACTGATAGACAAGGTTTTCAAGCTGGTTCTGCTTGAAAAACCACCATTGTTGAAGTATTGTAGTTTACAGTTTACTGTCAAAACAGTAAGAATAAATTGTGATGAAAAGCTGAACTTACTGTATATTGTTGCTAAGTACAGAAATACAGTGATGCAGAGAGCACAGTGGTTAAGTGTCACTTTGAAAAAGAAGAGCAGTTTTAATAGAAAAGTACTGCCACTGTGGCATAGTAATTTCAGTCTTCGCTAAAGAATTTATACCAGAGAAGAAATGGTTAAAACAAATTTGCATAAGTGGGAAATTGCTTCATGGCACAATGAAGAAATTAAGAAAGATGTAATAAAAATCCTAAAACAAATGTCTCTCGAATAATAAATAAAGAGAAAGAGAAGGAAACAAATTCAATTCACAGATTGTTAATGATTTCATTGGTGATTCTTGTAGTGTAATGTTATTTCTATAGCAGCTGTTCTTGTTCCATTTAAAATTCAATAACCTTTTAGATCTTAACCTGCAAGCTGACCTTAAATATTGTTATGAGCCTTGTGGTAAAACTGAATGATAATTAAAGAGAGTAATTTACTACCTTACCTGCTGTTTCCATAAATTTCCCAGATGCATAGATGTAGAGGGCCTTTATTTATGCCAAAAAGTTTAACTGAATGGCACTTCTGTTACTGAGTATTTCCAGGTTTGTTTTATGGTCTGCTTAAGAGATCCAGTAGCTAAGACAAAAAAAACACAACAACAAAAAACAACCACCAAACAACCAAGCATAGAAAAAACCCAGTGGAAGCAAAAAACAACTCTGGTACCTTGTTCTCTGAAAATGCAACTTAAGGAGACACTCAGTCATCCTCTTGCTCACCTCCATCTCTGAAGTTGAAAGTCAGACTTGTTTGTGTAATGTAATGAAATGGATTTGTGAGTTGCCTCTAGTATCTGACCTCTTCATACTACATTCTAGCTGTTCATGAATTTATAACCATGTTGTTTTCTAATGTAATATGCTGAGGACTTAGTGGCAGCGAGAATCAGCTGTTTAATTAACACAAACAGGAAATACTGGCTTTGGTCTGGATGCCTCACAGCTGCAATCCATATTCATGCTTTATTTTTCAAATCAGATTTAAACTGCATTGGATGCTGTAGGCACGCAAACATGGGAATAATGTTTTTATTGCATTTCCAGACATATGCACATATGTTTTTATATTTAGGCTCTCTGACTGGGAGAAGGGGAGGGAATGGTCTAAAAAAAAAATCAGAATTTGCACTTCAGACTTTATACTGTATTTGGCATTAATTTTATATTTTGTAAAACAAATTGTCATGTTTTACAGTCTAGCTGATTCTTACATAAATAACTTAAACTGTTTGAATGTGCCCATTTATCTTCCAGAAATTATCTGTAGAAATTTATGCTTTTAAGCCTGACATATTCCCACTTACTCTCCAAGACTGGTGGTCAGCCTAATTTAATGTTTTGATGTTGACTTTCTTCTCTTTTTACTTTAGGTACCCTTACTTACTGAAATAATTCTTAATATCAGTATCTTCAGGAAAACTCTTTTGTTGAATAAGTTTCCTGTGCTAAATTATATGTTCTGTTTGTATTCAACTGTAAAAGCTGTGTTTAAGAACCCAAACTGTGGCCCAGACTTGTACTCCAGTTTCTGTGCATGAAATATAATTTCTACTTAAAAATATAGTTTAAAATTTTGCCCCCTCGTTTTTCCTCATTCCATCTTCATTGTTGTTTGCCTTTCCTGCCGCCAAGTTGTATAAGTACAACTATGGGAAGCCTCAGTGTAAAGTTAGATGCCTAAAATGATCTAGGTTAAAAATAATGCTCTGGAAACAGTTTGCATTTCATGTCTGTTTATGCCTTTCCTTAAACTCTAAAATACAAAGATTAAATGTGTGTGTAGCTTCTGATGATCATTTCTCCAATGCTCAGAATTTTGAAGGAAAAGTCTAGGTCATATGATAACAAAATCTGTAACAGCCTTCTGTATCTCCTGAGCTCCTAGCATTCTGTTTCTCTGATACCAAAATCCTTGTACCCCCAAAGAAACCTCTGCAGAGTTTTGTCTAACCCTGCAATATATTACAGTTCTGCTAAAAATTAGAACTTCCTGTGTTATCTGTTACACAGTTTATATTCGTATTGAAACTGACACAATTTTCTGTTGTTTAATTTAAATGAAAGTTTGGCAGAATTTTTATTCAGCCTTACCCACGTACTGCAGGATTTAGTACCTAGACTGCATGATTTAGGTGTGACTTGCTAGGAAGTACAAAAGCCGTAGTAGTATAAGAGTCAGTAGAGTGAGGTGTTTTTCCTCTGATGTATGAGACGCTTGGAAAAAAGCTTAATTGGCATGTATCTCTCCAGAGCAGTGTACAATACCTCAGCCCTTAGTCATGGGAGTAATGACTTCAGTGAGTCTGCTAGTATTCGAGTATTACAGATATGAACAGTAACTGCTGAGTCAGGTTAGCTTTGTCCATCTTAACAGCCGTTTACATGGCACAGAACTAAAATTTAAAGCATTGTTTTGGGAAGGCAGAGAGAAGGCACAGCATACAAGTCGTATTAATATTATGCAGTAATTTTCCATGAACCAAGCATTCCTGTATTCTGTTATTAAACACTGTTTTGGGTTAAAGGATACTTTAAAGGAAAACAGGAACATAACAATATGTTTATGGAGTCTGTATAGAGAGTATAAAAATCAGAAGTAATTGGTAGGCAACAGAGAGCAATTTTTAAAAAATTACCTTAACTCTGAGTTTATTGCTAGCTCACTACAAGTTTTCGCAGTTTCTGCTGAATGTTAGTACCAGACTTCAGTAATAACAAACACATTTCTGTTTTGGTAGATGAAATCATCTGGCCTGAAAAGGATGAAGCTCCACCTCCAGATGCCCAGGATCTGATTACCCTGCTGCTCAGGCAGAATCCTTTGGAAAGACTGGGAACAGGTTAGAAGGCAATATTTCAAATTGTTAATGTGCTAGAAATAGCTTCTATATTCAGCATTGGGAGCTTTTGTTCACGTATTTGTTTTGCCTGTGGAACACCTGTCAGGGCTAGTTATATGGAATTACAGCAGAGACTATTTTATAGGCTCAGACCAGTAATATGAGCTTAACAAGATGATGACTGTCCCTTTTTTGGAGTTTACATGTGGTCATTCATCTTTACTCTTCTCTTTGATAAATAAACCAGGCATTTCTCAAAGACCAGGTTAGCCATTGGATAAGGTTCCTTCATGACTACAGTATTAACTAAACAGAGAAAGGGAACCAATACACAACTGATGCTTCCTTATTCAGAAGGATCTTAACCTGACAAATCAATTCCTTCAGGCTTTCAGGTGTGTGATGAGTACTTGAACTAATTATGCAGAAATGACTGTCTGAGGTTGTGTTGTGAAAGGTCTTGTCATTCTCATTCGACAAGTGCTACTGCCTTGCATGAATAAGAATAAAACCAGAAGTGTGAGCATTAGAGAATTAAGTGGGTATTGGTGTTGCACATGATTTTTAAAGTGTTAGTGTGGGAACCGTAGTCACTGACTGCCATCCGACTTGGCAAAGCACTATGTAAACACAGCAAAAAAGGCCTCTTACCTAGAAGAACCTGAATATGAAGGGTATAGTCTTATTGATAGTGAACACTATATACCATGAATATAAATACAGTGGGGATGCTAACGAAGCCAAGTGGCGAGTTAGCAGAAGAGTACTTGAAAAAATTATGGTGAAACTGAGTCCAGTGTCAGATTGTTCTGTGTGTTTTTAGAGCCAATTAGAAAAAAAAAAAAAGGAGCTTTAGGAATCAGGTCATAACTGGCCTTACCACAGCCACTTGGGGGAACGTGAGTATAACCCAGAGTTCCAAGTACTATTGTCATGATCCCAAACAATGGGTCTTCCTCTGGACTGGATTGTGTGACTGAGATGAGTGAACTGCATATCACTTGCTCTCTGGGCATCTGGGATCTATGTGAAGAGCACTTAGACTTCACTGTAGCTGATGGATCTGGAGTGAATGGGATCCACCAAAGCTTGTTTATGGCATCAGCATGTTGAAGAAGTTAAGAGTGAGAGTGGTGTTATGCCTCAGTCAGCTTCTCCACTTGCTGCCTGTGTCTTCTGCTGCAACAGGCAAATGCAGCCAAAAGCAAAATGAAGAGCCATAATTAGTTCAGTTCCCTTGTTCTAGGTGTATTCTTTTCAGACGTTGTTTTGTTGCCAGGATACTTCTTCCTGGGGATCACAGTCTTACTTCAAGATTGTCATCCTGCGAGAGGCTAAATCAGAAGTAGATAGCAAATTCTGCCTCTTTTGCAACAGCTGATTGAGAAGGTGAATTGAACAGACTAAGGCTGGCTTAACTACTGTAATGGTCAGCACCACCACATGGAGCATCTGTGCAGCTTGTTTATGGGCTGCTTTCTTTCAGCTGTTCCCTGTCTCTTGAGAGCTGACAGTCTGAAGAAGGAAAATGGGCAGCCATTTCTCTGAAGCACAGAGGGATGTTTATAAACCACAACAAGGTGGTTTTTTTTAAATGTCAAAAGCAACTCACAGAAATGGTTGCAATGTGACAGGTTCCACAGGGGCACTGGGAAATAGCATAATTCATCCTAGGCTCCACCATGCATTTCAAATGACAGCCCTGTCTATTTAATACGTATTAGCTAGCTGCGTAACACTCCATTAAAATTGTGTGTATTTGCTCAGGAGACCTGAGTGACATAGTTAAGCTGAAGGAAGAACGGTACCATACTTACTTTGAAGAAAGAAAATAACTGAAAAAAGACCCCTTTGGGTTTGAAGCATCTGATATTAATCAGAATTACAAAAAACTTATGTGATATCCCATTAACGTGTGCAAATTAGGATTTATCATCCCCAGGACAAAAATTCCAGTATTTTACTGCATTGTTATAGTAGTTTCTTAACTTCAAATTACTGAACTTGTGGAACACACGTTATAATCAAGTAGGCAGTAATCACTAACAAGCTTAAATGATAAGGTATTTCCTATAGAATTGTGTATTACTCCCATAAAACACCAAAAGGAGCTCCTCTGGTCAGCAGTCGTGTTTGCACTGAACAACTACTAAGAATCATTCTTCATTACTTTCTAACTTGTATTTACTTATCTACTGTGCATATTTATATTATAATGACTACTGCAACTGCTACATCTGATGCTTCTGACAAATGTGTAGTGAGTTGATAGATTATAATTAGTGTGTCCAGAAAAATAAAAATGTTTATAGGGAGAAGATGATTAAGCAATGCCACTACTGTTAAATCAGTGGCGGCAACAACAAAAGAGGAAGGGGGGGATGGTCTTGACAGGCTTAGGAGATTCTAGTGGGAAAGGGTAGTAGATGTTCCTTCCTGCATTGGTGACTCTGCCTTTCCATGATAATTTACACTTTTGAGCCGGGTTTTAGTTGAACTAATGTCAGAGGATTTGGCATAATTTGTTTAGTGTTTTTCTCTGGCTCCCTCAGGTGGTGCATATGAAGTAAAGCAGCATAAATTCTTCAGGAACCTTGACTGGAACGGTCTGTTGAGGCAGAAGGCAGAATTTATTCCACAATTGGAGTCTGAAGATGACACAAGTTATTTTGACAGTAGGTGTCTGATGTTATTAAAAAACTGTGATGAACGCCTTGTTTAAATAATCACTGCCTTTCCAGTTTGCATGCTGCTTTGTCAGAACCACTGGCAGCTGTGCAATTTCATTGGTGGTTTGACATTTCAGCAGAAATAATCCTAAGAATAAAAGTATGCTTTTAGTTAATATTAAACCTTGGTACCGCTTCTTCCTGATACATTCCAATACTTTATCTCCCTTGTCTGTAGCTCGTTCTGAGAAATACCACCACATGGAGACTGAGGAAGAGGATGACACCAATGATGAAGACTTTAATCTGGAGATAAGGCAATTTTCCTCATGTTCACACAGATTTTCCAAAGTAAGTAAAAATTGCTGTAATGTTGGTGTGTATTGTGTACACAAATGTTTTGCTACCTTTATGGAGTTTGGAAATGTTAGATATGGAAGAAGTGTGTGTTCTGTATGTTGGTTTCCTTATACCGAGTTTGCATGTTACTCCAGTTGTGTCCTGCAAAAGTTGCAGTTAATGGCATAACAAAGATTGCCGTACTAGCCTACAGTAGTTATAAAGTACATTACATTAGACTGAAAGGAAAAAGCAAAGCAGCATGTGGTTTGATTAAGGAGAAGTGTGTATTTGAGCAAGTGATCTGAATGCTGTGACTTGAAGGTGACTGTCCAAAGGGTGGTATATTCTAGTATTTGAGATGAGATCTAATTACTGCTGTGTAAGGGATGCCAGTAGGAGCAGAGCGGACATGCTTAGGAAGTACTGTGGGAGATAGATGGGCAAGAAATAATAGAACTGGAATGCCTAGCGAGTGTGCTTTTAGTCCTAACAGAGTGACAAGCAGACATTTTCAGAAGCTTTCTGGATAAAAAGTTCCTTGAACCTACTTCACAAACTGTTTAAAAGCATTTGATAGGTCTGGGGTTTTATCTTCTTTGTCATAGATTATGCTTTAAGTAATTTGTAGATTTTGTGCTGGCTCTGCAATACCACTTATGCATTGTATCTGTGATAACATGGAAGAGCAGAGACAGGAATTGCGTATATAGTAGATTTAGGTTAGACATTAGGAGGAAGTTCTTTAGTGTGAGGAGACACTGGAACAGGTTGCCCAGAGAAGTTGTGGATGCCCCGTCCCTGGAAGTCAAAGGGCAGGTTGGATGGAGCTTGGAGCAACCTGGTCTAATGGGAGGTGTCCCTGCCCATGGCAGGGGGGTTGGAACTGGATGATCTTTAAGGTCCCTTCCAACACAAACCATTCTGTGATTCTATGATGATTCTATATAAACTTTTTCTTTTGACTTGGTGATGTGCTTCAAATTCAGATACTGGTAAATGACAGTCTCTTTAGAGGTTTTGGAGCCTCCATCCTTGGAGATCTTCAAAAGACACAGTCCTGGGCAGCCAGCTTTAGGTGACTCCTTGAGCAGAGGGATTGGACAACATGGCCTGCAGAGATCCCTTCCGAACTAATTCTGTGAAGTTCTGCCCTTTTGAAAGCTCTGTACCACAGTTACAGTTTAGTTTATATCATTACATCTCTAACTGTGCCTCAGACTGTAGAATATACAGATGGCAATTTCTGTCTGTTGTTGTTTCCTTAGCTGACAATATAATTCCATTTATGAGAGTTTATATTTTCTAAATCCTTTAGCCTAGTAATTTATTCTTTACTTCAAAGTCAATTCAGATTATTTTTTTCTGCTTCGCACACCTGACTTTTAGATACTAAGTCAGTATCTTATGGCTAGGGCTTTTTCTACCTTGATTGGTGAGTTAATCCAGGGTGTGCATTGATCCTGTGACCTAGAAACCCCAAGACTGTGAATTTTTCTTGTACTCTTGGTTCACACAGTGACAGGGAGAGAAAACAGATGAATTTGTAATGAGAAAATACGCTATTTGTGACACTATATGTGAACAGAATAGGAAAGCGTTTTGAGGACATAAACTCTTGGAAATCTAAAAAGGCTCAAGGAGTTTGAAATTTGCAGTCTGAAATACTGTATAAGCATTTAGAATATGTAGAGTAGAAACTGTAATGTGTTTTTCTGCATATCTTTTCATATCACATATGTCAGTGATGAGTTGTGGTTTTTTGTTTCTTTTTGTCTGTATTAGGTTTTTAGTAGCATAGATCGAGTCATTCAAACACAAGGTGAAGAAAAGGAAGATGCAGGAGAAAAAACAAAAAGTGTAACATTGCCTTCTGTGGAATCTTTAAGCTGGAGTTCAGAATATTCTGCAATGTAAGTAAAAGAAGATGCTAGAAGTGGGCCAGCAGGCCTCCTCATCTCAATGTCTTCATAAGAGTTTGCTTATTTTAATGCAGACAACAAGTATGTGCATCCCTCTCCTCTGACACTGAGAGTAGCAGGCAGCAGCACAGTTCTGGTTTGCTTCCGAAGTTGGCCATATCAGCTGAAGGAGAACAAGATGATTCCAGTGGCTTAGTGGGACTCCGGGAGGAACAGGAAAAGCCTGTGTTTGTGAAGGAGGAAGTAGTGCAAGATGAACCTGAAGTAACCACTCCAGCAAGTACCATCAGCAGCTCCACACTATCAGGTAATTCACAGTGAGCCTCTTAACTGATGATATTGGAAACAGTTGTCAACCTTATTCATTTAGCAGTAGCACTCATGGACTTAGAAGTTCTGTCTTTCAGAACTACTTTTAAAAAATGTCATCCCAAGAGGGGTCTGGTTTGCAGCCAGGCTAATAAAATGCCATGAAAATACATATGGGAAAGTGTCAAGATTTTTGGAAATGCCTACGTTTGGTGTTGCCCCACTGACTCTTGAGGGCTGCTAGGCAAGTGAATAAAATAGTAGCTTGACTGTAGAGCCTTTGCAGGATCACTTTGTGGAGAAACAGAATCTTGGATCCCTTGAACACTTAAAGCACTATTTTTATATCTTCCCTTACCAAAGTTAGTTGTCTTTTCATCAGTCACTCTAGAGTCATTCCAGCTGTTCTGTATTGCTGTTTTCTGACACTCTGTGCTCTACCATTGTGTGTTTTTCATTAAGACATCTCTGATGTACACCTTTCAGAATTGGCGGGGCTCTCTTTGACTTGCAGAAGTCAATTTTGTAATTAGACATCTAGGAAGGAGTGTTGTAAACCATTCCCTACTTAAATAATTTATTTTGTTGATGTAAGTTTTGTATGCATTTCAGTAGGATCCACAGCACTGGAATCTTGCTGGTTTTGTGGTATGAGGGGAGAGTTTTATGTAACTTTTGAAAGACCTGACACTTAACACAGATCTAGGCCTGCATCAGTCTCGTGATTGTCCATAAATAGGTTCCAGTTACCATCTCTCTACATTTACCTGTCTTTAGCTTATTTCTCTTTTGTACCTCACGGAGTTTTCTCAGGATACCCCTTTCTGTTCTTATGTCCCTCATTTCCTTGTAGTCTGCGTTTTCCTCCCCTTTCCTCCTCTCCATTTCTGGTTAAATATTTCCTTAGGTTCCTTTAGCTGTGCAGCCATTTCCATCTCCTTCCCTTGTCTAAAGCCTTGACTGTGCTGTATCCTGAGTATTTCTCACTCCCCCAGGCCCATGTTACAGTGTTGGCATTAGCACAACAGTCACATTAATAGCTCAAAGCATCTGACCCTCTTCTGTCACTTACCAACTACACTTAGAGAATATTTTCATTTTTCTGTGATCCATTAACAACAGGATATTCAGTGATTGTGAAGAAATACTAGGAATTACTGCTGTCTTTAAACGTGCAGCCTACCCTTAGTGCATGTTCCATAAGGTCATGCAACTTCCCTGTGATATCTTGATTTTTTTTAATGAAAGCTCTTGCAGGCTGTTCATGTGGCACAAGACCTTCATGCTTTTTTGATTGTTTTTTGAAACATTGTCCTTTCTCCATTTAATACTGTGGAAGTTCATTATCTATGATCAACAGATATCAGTGTGATTGGAATACTGAGTTTTGTGGTACCGTGTTTCTTTATCTTTTGTGATAGAAAACAATCCAAAGAATAAAACCAAAAGGTAATAATTAAAATTCCACATCATATTTTAATGATTTTGGAAAAGTTGTTGAGCTGATACAACTTATGTAAGACTGGAGCCTTTAATTTACTTTAGGAAGAGTTAACATGAAAAATAAATGTATAATTAAGTTTTCTAATGTGAGTGCTGCATATTGAGGTGCCAGACTTGCTTCAGCTTTTGCCTCTTACTTCACTTTAGTCAGTGACTACAAGAATCTGTTGCTTCAATTAATTCTGTTAAACTTCATGCATTTGGTAAATCTGAAGTAATTACTCATATTTCTGTAATGTTGTTTTATGAACTTGTTAACAGAAAAAAAATGCGTATCTCAAAATTGTACCATTTCACTTCCTCAGCCCCTATTTTTCCCTCAATGTGTTTATTCCCTCTTCTTTGTACAGTTGGCAGTTTTTCTGAGCACTTGGATCAAATAAATGGAAGAACTGAGAGTGTGGACAGTACAGATAACTCCTCAAAGCCACACAGTGAAGTTGCATCTCACATGGCTCGTCAGCGATTAGAAAGCACGGAGAAAAAGAAAATGTCTGGGAAAGTCACAAAGTCCCTTTCTGCAAGTGCGCTGTCCCTCATGATCCCAGGAGGTAGAGATAAATCTTTTTGTTTTAAACGTTTTAATCTGTGCAAACTTCATAGTTTATGATGTAAATGCAAGATTTTTGAGAGTCCAGAATGAGTTTGGTGTCACTTTTCTGTTGGTGAGTTACAGTGGTCACATTACAGCTGAGGAACCTACTCTGGCAGGCAGAAATGAAGCTTAACGTTGACCATTATGTGTTCAACTGTGTTCATGCACAACAAGATGTGCAGGATGCTGCAGTAGAGTTGTAGCTTAAGTTTTAAGTAGCTCACTACAGTTCCAAGAATAGCTGTTTGTTATAGCTGCACGATCAGCCTTACTAGTTTTCTTCCATAGGAAAAGGTGATACGCCAGAGAAAAGTGTCAGAAAAGTAGAAATAACATGTAGACTTCCATTGGTACAACATGGGCTTACATAGAGTGCTGAAACTTTGAAGTTAGAAATATTCCTTTAAGTAACTGGAAACATAAAAAATAGTAGTGAGTGTTTCCAGATGAAGTACTGTTGTGTTGTGTGGCTTTAGCAGTAACTTCAGCAGACTGCTTTGAGCCCTCAGGCAAGTAGGAAATTGTACAGTGTTGAAGATCTGGGTCTGTCTCCTCTCTTAAACTTAACATGTCTCTGGGTTGTAAAGCACATGTGCCGTATGTGCTTGGTGAGCAAATGAAATGGTATCATGCATGTGTTTTGGATACGTTGGGTGAAGGATCCATCTGATCCCTATTACTGCAGGAATTTCTCATTCACATCATGATCTCTGCCCTTCTTCATCATGCAGTTTAAAGATCAGCATAGACTTCCTGTGCAGTATCTGTAATTCCAGCCGCTAACTACAAGGATTTTTTTAATGAGAAAAGACAAGAATATTGCGTCTCAGTTAAAGAGGATCATTTTCCCCCTGCTTGAATGGGGACATCTGGATGACAATGAAAAGAATACTTAGCACTTCTGTGATACTGTCTGTGTGTGAATTGTCATTCACACAAAGTGCATAAGAGAGATGAAGATTTATTGATTTTTACCATGAGATGGTGGCCATGCACTCAGTCTGTTCAGGACAGCACATACTTAATGACTACTTAACGACTACATTGCTTCAGTCTTTAGCAACCAGGACCGATTATATAGAGGGAATCCAACTCCCTAAGCTAGAGGACAGGGATCAGGAGCAGAGTCACTGCCCCCCAATAATCCAGGAGGATCACAGGTCTGTGATCAGCTTCACCATACAGATGTGCACAAATCTGTAGGGCCAGATGGGGTGCATTCAAGAGGGCTGAAAGAACTGTCAGGAGTGCTTACCGAGACACTTCCCATCATTTACCAGCAGTCCTGACTAACTGGAGAGGTACCAGCAGATTGGAAATCAGCCAACACAACCCCCGTATATAAGAAGGGATGGGAAGATGGTCCAGGAAATCACAGGCCTGTTAGTCTAACTTCAGTACCAGGAAAGCTGATGGAGCAGATCATCCTGAGTACCATTATGCAGCATATGCAGAACAACCAGGTGATCAGGCCCAGCCAGCATGGGTTCATGAAGGACAGGTTCTGTTTGACTAACCTGATCTCCTTCCATGACAGGGTGACCTGCTTATTGGATGAGGGAAGGGCTGCCGATGTTGTCTACCTTAACAAGGCCTTTGACAAGGTTTCCCCCAGCATTCTCCTAGAGAACCTTGGCTGCTCATGGCTTGGAAGTGCACATGCTTTGCTGGAAAAAAAACTGGTTGGGCAGCCAAGTCCAAAGAGTTGTATTGAATGGAGTTAAATCCAGTTGGTAGCTGGTCACGAGTGATGTTCCCCAGGGCTCAGTGCTGGGGCTGCTCCTGGTTAACATCTTTATTGATGACTTGGATGAGGGGATAGAGTGCACCCTCAGTAAGTTTGCAGATGACACCAAGTTGGGTGGGAGTGTCTTATCTGCTTGAGGGCAGGGAGGGATCTGGACAGGCTTGGCTGATGGGCCAAGACAAATGGCATAAGATTAAATAAGGCCAAATGTTGGGTCCTGCACTTGGGCCACAACAACCCTGGGCAATGCTACAGGCTTGAGGAGGAGTGTCTGGAGAGCTGCCCAGCAGAGAGGGACCTGGGGATGCTGACAGCTGAACATGAGCAAGCAATGTGCCCAGGTGGTAAAGAATACCAACCACCATCCTGGCCTGCATCAGGAATAATGTGACCAGCAGGACCAGGGAGGTGATCTTGTCCCTATGCTGGACCTTGATGAGGGCACACCTCAAGCACTGTTTGCAGTTTAGGGTACTGCAGCGTAAGAAGGACTTGAGGTGCTGGAGAGGGTGCAGAGAACGGCAAGAACTAAGCTGATTAGGGGTCTGGAGAACAGATTTTACGAGGAGAGGCTGAGGGAGCTGGGACTGTTCAGCCTGGAGAAGAAGAGGCTGAGGGAAGACCTCATTGCTCTCTACAACTACCTGAACGGAGGTTGTGGTGAGGTGGGTGTTGGCCTCTTCTCTCTGGTGACTAGTGATGGGCCAAGAGGAGACTGGATTAAGTTGTGCTAGGGGAGGTTCAGATTAGATATTAGGAAAATTTTCTTCACTGAAAGAGTGGTGAGGCCTTGGATCGGCTGCTTATGGAGGTGGTGGAGCACCATCTCTGGAGATGTTAAAAAAACAGGTAGATGTGCTGCTTTGAGAGGTTGTTTAGTGGTCATGGGATTGTAGAACTGGTAGTTGGACCTGATGATCTTTTCCAACCTTAATAATTCTGTGAATCTGTGAAAACTGCAGTTGAGTTGAGCTTGATACATGCCCAGGTAGTTACAGAGACAAGTAAGACTCACATTATTCATTAGTTGGTATTCTAGTAATTCTTTCGCAGCTGTCAAGTAAGAATGAATCACTAAGTTCAGAGATTATATAGACTGAGTTACTGAGCTCATACTGCAGAAAACTGCAGTTTTCTTTTAGTTCAATCTCAGCATCATTCTATAAAATCAAAACTTTGCTAACACCTACAAATGTTGCCATTATATCTATATCAACTAAGTTATTAAATGTTAGCTGTACCTAATACTGTCGAAGCCCCTTTCTGTTTCATGTTTATCCATGAGATATCAGATGGCCAGTGTTCCTGACCTGAGTCTTGTAGCTGAGAGTCACAGGACTTCTCCCACAACCGGCAGAAAGCAGAGGGTGGGGGTTCTGGGAATGTTTCAGAGCAAGAGGGTGACAGTGACAGCCACCTCGGGGCTTGGCTGTTCTGTGGATTTCAGCACTAAGCCATAATCCCAGTCTCTGGGAGCCTCTGGTGACTGGCATCCAGGGAGTAGAACCTCCACTGTCAAAACACATCTTCCCTTGAATGACGTGGCTTGGTACAGACAACAAACTTGGAGTCTTTCTGGCTGCATTCTTTTGCAGAGCTGTCACCTTTTTGCAGTCACCAAAATGTGTTTTATGCTGCTGCAATTGTGTTTACCGTTGCATGAGCATGAGCACGTAGTGATTTCAAAACAAGGAGACAGATCAAGGCCATAATTTATATTGTTGTTGCAAGAAATTTTTCTGGTCTTGTATGGTGTGGCAGAGTAAGCAGTCAGTTACTGTCCGGTGTACCAACTAGATCTTGTGGTTTAATTACAACAGTCTTAATCTATGTATAACTGAAATAAAAGGAACCAACCAACTAGTCCTTTGTTTAGCACTGTTGGATGATTAGGGGATGATTTTGAGCACAGTCACAATAACATCTGCTACCAAACTGACTTTCTTTGCTTCAGTGCTTGTTAAAAAGAGGCTGAGAATTGTTCTTTTGAAGTTAGCAGTGAAGTTTATTTCCTATATCAAGAGAAAAAGCAACCTATATCTAAGAGATTACCCCTTGCATTAAAAAATACAGTTTATGCTACAGGGAAAGATATTTAGTAGTATCTGGTTGTTGGTTAAATTCCTCAGAAGGAGACTCATTGAGGAGGAGTGTTTATGCACTGACAAAGATCTGGTTTTGACACAGGTGTCAAAAAGCTAAGCAGATACCCTAAGCAGTGTCTGTATTTGTATGTGCTCAGAATGTACTCTAATAAGCAAATTTTTTTTCTTCCAGATGTGTTTGGTGTGTCTCCTTTGGGAAGTCCTATGTCTCCTCATTCCCTATCATCTGATCCATCATCCTCCCGAGATTCATCTCCCAGCCGTGATTCATCAATTGCTGCTCCAAGTCCTCATCAACCAATAGTAATTCAGAGTTCAGGAAAAAAATATGGCTTCACCATCCGAGCAATCAGAGTTTATGTGGGCGACAGTGATATCTACACTGTGCACCATATTGTTTGGGTAAGATAATATCTTTTTTGCTTATATATAGACGCAGAAATCTGTAATGATGTATAGTTCCTTTAGATTTTTGTACCTATGGTATCAGTTTGTCAGCAGTTACTGTGTAAATCACAATGCTGTGCCAGACAGTTCTCTCAGAATGAAATTTCTGCTTGTACACAAGACAGTGTTGACTGTAAGAATGAAACATGTCACCTTTGGCAGAAGTGATACCTACATACGGTGTTGACTTTCTGCATGAGTCACTTTCACTTTTGGCAAGTTTGATAATTATGAAGAGCTGTGTCTTAAGTTCAGAGTACCATGGCTTTGAAAAACAAAGGGTTGGTGCAGCCCCTCTTGATTAAGAGGAGGATCTGGAGAACTTAAAGAGATTGTGAACAGAATTTGTTGAAATATACATAGAGTTCATTAGACTGTGCCAATTAAGGTATTCATGAAAGTCAACAGTATTTTACTAGACACAAGTAAGCTGATTTCAAGTATTGACTTTCATTTGTGTAGAAATGTGCACATAATTTGGAACTGTGAATACCTTTGAGGATTCAATAGTACAGGAAAAAGACTGTCTTGAATAAATAATGTGTTTTTCATCCTCTGTTCACGCCTGATACGAACAAAGTGGGAGACAGGCTTAAGGGAAATGCATCAGTTCTTGCATTTAATTGGTTATCAATCTCCTTAACTGTAAAATAAGTGTGTATTTTTGTAAATATATATGTATTTATTTTATAATTTCTTGTAATAACAAAATTAAATGTGGTTTAATTTGTATAGTATACATGCAAAAAATATTGGGTGTGTATAAACTAAAATGTTTTAACTACCTTAACATAATTCTGAAAAATGTATTACAAATACATTTAAAACTTTGAAGTTTTGTACAGTGCTTTGTTTTAAATATGTATTGTAGGTTTTGAAGGAGCAATGCTGCTGATGTGGTAGTGTATTACTCATTTTTCATTTATGTTTACCTCTCAGACCTATTAATCTATTGAGAACATTGATTTCTTGCCACTCATATAGTGTCACATCAGTGAAAGGAAGAGAAAAAATGATAAATTGTGGTAAAAATGAAACCTTTCAAAATACTGTGGGTTTTTTTAGCTCTGTAAGCACTGTAGGCTTTAATAGTTGCTGTATGACTTATATTTTTTCAAAAGCTTATTTTAGAATATAATAAATTATTTAAGCCACCTCTGAAATAATTTTGAATTCAGTTTGATTTGGGCCTTCATCACCTTTTTGATTTACTATTCCCTCTAATGGGTATCCTGGTGAATTTGAATCAAATGAAAACAGCCCTTAACTATATGGTGGAGTTAAGAATTTTTCTCACAATCAGGGTATTGCATGTGACCACTGCCTTAATTACATCAGTTTTTTTCAGTGTCACATGCTAAAATCTTAATTTGATTCTGAGCTTTTGCCGTGGGGAGTCAGTGGCCCCTGCTTTATTACATATATAAAAACTTCCCTGATGTACAAAGCAATGACAAGCAATGTTTTGGTGAGTTTTGGGACCTTTCCAGGCCTTGTGTAAAGGTAAAGTAGTCAATGGTGAAAGGGCTTTTATATAAGTTACTGTCTTTAAATTTTCTTGATTGCCAACTGGTTTTATAGAAAGAGTTCATTAAACAAAGCCTTCTTTTGAAAGGATGAAGGTTAAACAGAGTCCATTTTGTGCATATTTGTCTCTGATTTCCAGAATGTGGAAGAAGGAGGTGCAGCTTACCAGGCGGGTTTAAAAGCTGGAGACCTGATTACTCATATCAATGGAGAGCCAGTGCATGGTCTTGTTCATACGGAAGTCATTGAGTTGTTGTTAAAGGTAACTCCTGGACAACTGGCATGCAGAAGTGCTTGCTGTTTTCACCAAGGATTGAGTGGTTATGTTTATTTCTGTCAGAGATCGTTTATCAGATTTTGTAGTTGTTCAAGTACGAACTCCAAGCTGCTGTTGCACAGATCTGGAGAAAGGCCATTATGATTTTAGTTTCTCTACAGTAAACTGGCAGTCCTGTTGAGATAGCTTAAATACATTCAAGGCACTAACACAGAGGTGTCTCTATCTCTTAAAAAATTTGACATTTTCGATTACTTTCTTGAATTTTCTTACCTTCATCAGGTAATTCAGGGTTTTGATGATGATTCTACTCCTTGATTTATCCTTTGAAAGTGAAATCGAGGAAAAGTGGAAGGAATTGAAAATATATTCTTCTCTACTGAGCAGGAGCTTGTCTTTCATAATCTTAAGGTCCAAAATGTTTTGTCTTGTATAGAGCCATGCTTGCCCCACAGAGCTTCTCTTCTTAATGAAATTCTGATTCTGCAGTTGTACTTTTTTGAATCAAGCTATCACATTTTTCTCTTGTGGAGTGTTCTGAGGTCTGTGCTATTACAAAATTATAGATGTACTTTTCTTCAAAAACAAACAAAACCCCCCAACTTTTTAAAACTAATCGTAGTGTCTTAACTTTTCACTGTAACTCATCATGTTGCAGTTTATACGTTAATTTTTCATCGCAGACTAACATAGGTCAGAATTATTTTAGACAGTTGTGTATTTACTTCCTGTGTTGCTAATAATTCATGGTGTAACATGCAGAGCTTGCTGGTCAGTTATTAAAAAAAAATATAAAAGCCGTGTAGTAATGGGAGAATACAGAGACCTGAGGAAAGATGCAGAAGTCCTTAAGTTGTTTTTTTGTTTGTTGTTGGGGTTTTTTTTCTGTGAAAACAAAGGAAGTTCCAAGTTTTCCAATTTTGCAATAGATGTGTAAGAGAAAATTCTGTAATTTTAGATATTTGCGGGTGTGCAGTTTTTTTCTGTGTCTGATACACAAAAAGAGAAGCATGACAACCTTGCACACTGCTTGCAGGAGTAAACTTAAAATGAGAGATTGTTGTTTATCAAAATAGGCTGTGTCATAAATGTGGGCTATTGGAATTCCTTAGAAAAAAAGCTCACTGTAGTTGATAGACAGTGCTGTGCAGGAAGTGTGAATTTTTAAAACATAATATAGTTACTTCCAGTTTATTTGTTGAGTCGTCTTTTCATGCTCATGGTCCTAAAAAGCTTAACTTAATTATATTTGTTCTCTGTTTTGAACAAGATAAAATAATGGGTTTGGATTGATAAAAAAGATAAGGCTTTCTCCTCCATTTCATCATGGTTACAGTTGGTATCCTGAGACAGGAATGGCTGGTGAATGTACCACAGCACAGTGACAGCTGTACTTTGTGGGAAATTAGGATGTTTCTGTAGAGGTTTTCATCTTGAAAATTGCAGTCTTGGTCAACCCTTGTTCTCTTCTGGTATAGCTACGGTTGCTGGTATTACCCCTTGTGAAGCTGGAGTGGAGGAAGTTTAGGAAATTTGGCAGAATTGTATTATTTTCCAGTCCTTATCTGACAGAAGTTAGCCTGGTAACCTGTGCATGGGCTTCCTGCTTTCCCAGTTCTTACTCTGATGCTGGAGTTCTCTCCTGTTGCATTCATGTTTGTGGTGTACCTTCTGTTTAAGGCTAAGTTGCCTTATATTACTTATGCCTAAATGTTCCTCTTCCATTTTGGCAGAGTGGCAACAAAGTGTCAGTAACAACAACTCCTTTTGAAAACACATCCATCAAGACAGGACCTGCCAGGCGGAACAGCTACAGGAGCCGAATGGTCAGACGCAGTAAGAAAACCAAGAAGAAGGAGGGTTTGGAGAGGTGAGTTGTTGTTTTGTTCCATGGCGAATGTGTTTCCATGTGTGTGTGTGTGTGTACATAACAATTAATTTAAAATCTGAAGTAAATACATCTCTCTCTCTTGTCTTCTGCATCTTTTTCCTTCTTCTGTGAGACCCTGTGCTTGTAACAGGTCCTTCCAATCCTGTTTTGCCTAAACTAGATCTGTTAAAACAACCCAAAAAATTTTGCATGTTGTGCACAGAGATACAAGGAACAAAGTGAATAACTGACGTTGCTGCTTCATTTAGTTTAAGTGTACTGTTTTGTACTTGTTTAATCTTACTAGGGCTAAGTTTATGGGAATTTACAGTTTGATGATACATGTTTTATCTAAACACATTGCTAGTTCTTTGTGGATATATCTTCAGTTTTAGTGGACTCTTTAATTATAAAAACGAGGATTTATGCTCATAAGGAGTTAACCCTTCTTCTGGAGTACAGCGAGTAAATTTTAGTACTAATAGATTGTTACCATATCTATTCTACCTATTAGAAAATCCATATATTTTCTAAAATTAACTCTCTGCAGTGTGGTTTGCTTTCACATAAACATAGATTTAATATTTGCATTCCTAAGGATAAAAGGAGAGGAAAGCAAAGTCAGATTGCAAGAGTTTTGCCTCTGTTAATATCTTCTACGCATCATAATTTCTGATTAATTCTGTTTTTCTCACACTAGGAGAAGATCGCTCTTTAAAAAGCTGGCCAAGCAACCTTCTCCTCTTCTTCACACCAGCAGAAGTTTCTCCTGCCTGAATCGATCACTCTCCTCAGGGGAGAGCTTGCCTGGATCTCCAACCCACAGCTTATCTCCTAGATCACCTACCCCAAGCTACCGGTCTACTCCTGAGTTTCCATCTGGTGAGTCTGAAGGAGTGGAGGGTGGGGTAAAAGGACTTGGAAGTTATTCTTCTACTTGTGAGTCTCCCAGATCTGTTAACACTCTGCTAGGAGCAGACAGCTCTGACAAGCATGATCGTTGAACAGCTAGTTTCTGTCTGGAAGAAGAAAAAAGACTGCTAATGCAAAACCAAATGTGTTTTCATGATAAAGAAGCACCTAAAAGGGAACTGTCTGCTGGGTTTGTCACAGAGCTTAAATCCAAGTCTAGAGGCTGTAAGTTGAGTAATAAGCAGTCCACGTTTGGAGTAAAAGGTAGAATCTACTGTTGGCTGATAGAAGAATGAGGAGAAAGTTGCTACATAATGGAACTAGTATGGGAACTCATAAGGCAGATTTATTGCTGAAAAGATTGACTGGATGCTGAAATGTGCATCTTTCTGGCTCCTAAAAATCTGTTCTTTTTTCTCGTTTGACTTGTGTCATGATTTTAGTGTGTACTAAAAGTGACTCCTGTTTTACAGTCCCTTGGCAAAGGTAAATTATTTGGAAAGCCTTTGTCTTTGCTTTGAAGTGGCAGAACGCATTAGGTCTTCTGTTTAAATAGAAGGAAGTGATAAATTAGAGTATGAATGAAAAAAGGGGGACAGGGAGAAATAGCAATGTAATTGGAATTATGAGGGGTTTACAGCCCAGTCACTCAAAATCTTCAAAATTTTGAAACGTGGAAGAAGATGGCACATAGGCCCTTTGGACTGGTGAAAGTTCTGTGTCTCACTTAAGATTTAGACAAGATTCAAAAAACCTTGTTAAATTTACGTTTGTTCGGTTTGCTTGTTTGTTCTTTTTGTAGGTACTAACTCATCACAGAGTAGCTCCCCTAGTTCAAGTGCTCCCAATTCTCCAGCTGGCTCAGGACACGTAAGACCCAGTACTCTTCATGGCTTGGGTCCAAAGCTTGGTGGGCAAAGATACAGATCAGGAAGACGCAAATCAGCTGGCAGCATTCCTCTCTCTCCTCTTGCACGGACCCCTTCTCCAACACCCCAGCCAACATCCCCTCAGCGTTCTCCATCACCACTGCTGGGACATTCAATTGGAAATACAAAAATAGCTCAGTCTTTTCCTAGCAAAATGCACTCCCCTCCAACTATTGTAAGGCATATTGTTAGACCAAAGAGTGCAGAGCCACCAAGATCTCCACTGTTAAAGAGAGTCCAGTCTGAAGAGAAACTTGCACCCTCTTATGGCAGTGATAAGAAACATTTATGTTCACGAAAACACAGTCTGGAAGTGACCCAGGAAGAAGCGAATAGAGAATTGTCCCAAAGGGAAGTAACTCTTCAGAGCTTGGAGGAGAATGTATGTGATGTGCCATCACTCACACGAGTCAGGCCTGCAGAGCAGGGCTGCTTAAAACGACCTATAAGCCGAAAATTAGGTAGGCAAGAATCCATTGATGAGCTGGACAGAGACAAACTGAAGGTCAAGATAGTTATGAAAAAGCAAGATTTTGCTGAAAAAGCGAATGCTGCTATACATGAACCTAGCAGTGAACCAGAAAATCCCAATACCTTAAGATTGGAAGAAAGAGACAAAAAAGCATTTCAGAAAGTTATAGAAAGATTGAATCAGTTTGAAACAAAAACTGTTTCTTTGGAGACTCAGTCAGCTAGTGGCATACTTAAGGACACTCTTCAAAAGAGTACAAACTTGAGATTAAATGATGGTGTTACTTTAGATGCACCGCTGTTTTCTCATGGGCCTCTACCTAATGAGCCCAGTCATACTTCTTATGACTTCAAAATAATTTCCCCACCATGTACACTACAAGATGTGCTGCCTCAGTCCACTGATAGGACACTGAATGGAAAGGGAGAAAACATGGATAAAAATGTACCAACAAAAGAATTTGTCAAATTTGAAAGATTAGACGGCAAACTTGCAAATATTGATTATCTTAGAAAGAAAATGTCCATTGAAGAAAAAGATGACATTGTCTGTCCAGTGCTAAAACCCAAATTGACATCAAATGTTCATGAATGCCTTCAACTTAATACAGGTAGGCCCATGAACATACAGCAGGAGCCCACTGCTGTAGCTGATGGAAGAGCATATATCAACAGTGCACATGCTGCTCCAGTCAGCCCAGTTTCTTTTGTACCTCTCAAGACCTTGAATGGCCGAGCAGACATGAGTGTGGAAAAATCAGCCCTTATTTCCACTGAGACTCCTGTCAGAAAAAGTCCATCAGAATATAAACTTGACGGAAGGTCTGTTTCCTGTTTGAAGCCAATAGAAGGCACGCTAGACATTGCCTTACTTTCTGGGCCACAAGCTTCAAAGACTGAACTGTCGTTGTGCGTGCTGCCAGAAGGACAGAGCACCAGCAGTGATGGGGCATCTTCTAAACTCCCAGCACCACAAGGGAGTGGTGGGAAGGCAGAACTGGCCTGTCAGAAAGAGCAGTTGTTAAGCTCTTCAAAATCTGGCAAAATCACTGTATTAGAGGCTCAAGCTCTGCAAACAAGCAAGAGTTCTCCAAGCTCACCAGTCATCCCTGTGGTTGCAGAAGAAGTGACAGAGAAAAAGGTTTCTAATCCAGCTACCAAAGGCAATATTTGTGTTACTGAAGCTGTTCAAAAGGAAGACACCTCCCCTTACAAACAGAAGGACAATTCAGTGGAGGCAAAGTCTTGTGTTACTCAGAGTGTTAAAACTACTCAAGCATACCCAAAACTTTCCACTGTCCAAAGCACTCCTGAAAAATCTTTAGGAAAAGAAAAACAAGTACAAAAGGAGTTGCCTGCCAAAGAGCCAGTAACACAGAGAAGTTGCGAGCCTATCCCTGCAAAGGTGGAGCTGATCAGGGAGTCATCTCCGAAGGTCTCAGATGTCCTGGTAACAAGCTACTCCAAAAGCAATGAAAAAAATGCTGATTTTGCTGTTCCACCTCAAATGCAAGGAAAAATGCAGGCAGCTGGCCCCAAAGCACAACCTAAGGAGAGCAGAGAATCACTGAAGCAGCTAGGCAAAGATGACAGTAATGTTGCTACTAGTTTTATGCAAAAGGACATAACCAAGCAGAAAGTTTTCAGCGAGTCTAAGACAGTTACCACAGAGTCGAAGAGTGAAGGTCTTCCATTCAAACGGCCAATGCAACCATCCATAGATTGTTATCCTAAAAATGAGAACTCTGCACTGCCTTCCTCTGTGCAGAAGGAAAATGCTAAAGATTTAGGAAAGAAAGATCAGAAACAGTTCACTGATATAAAGCTTCAGACTACTGAGAGACAGCAGTCCAGCCAAGTTTCTCGGCAGCAACTTAGTGCTTCAGGCTCCTCTGCTGTGAGAGATATCTTAAGCAAAACCTGTGCTGTAGATGTTCACTCAGGTGTTCAAGAACATGTGAAGCCTGCTGCCCCCTATGTAGAAAGCAGCAGTAACAAACAAAGGCAAGTCTCTGATTTGAGTACGTCTAAGTCTAAGTATTTGGATAAACAGACATTGTCACAAAAACCATGCACTCCAGCTGTGAAAGAAAAAGAAACTATTAATCAGCTATCTACCAGCTCCCGGAAAGATGGGAAACATGCCAGTAAAAATGTATTAGATCCCTTTTCTTCTGCTTCAGGCTCTTTGAAAAAAACGCACACTGAACAGGTGCAGGCTGAAAGGCCTGTGAGTTTGGAGCATGGCTCAGTAACCACCATCCAAATGAGCAGCATCACTTCTGATACCAAACTCAAATCCTCCACTGTAGGCCCAGTACTGGCAGGCCCAGAGAATTCCAAGCAGCTTCAGAGGCAAGAACCAGCAGGCCTGGGGGAGTCTGCTAATCAAAAACAACTTCACCTCAGTGAAAAACAAACTATGTCTCCAAAGTTTTCCACTGTGAAAGACTGTCTCTTGCTAAGCAAACAGGCAGACAGAAGTCCTAATAACGAGATGACCTCTGCAGACAAGAGACCCGAAGGAAAAATCTGCACTGACGCACTTTATGTTCAGCTTGACAGTGGAAAAGTAGAGCCTACCCTTTGCCTTGCAAGCTGCGATGCCAGAGGGAAAGGAGCAGAAAAATCGACCACAAGTAGCAAAAGCTCTCAAGATTCAAAAGGGAAAGGACAAGTTATTCAAAAACAGCCAGAGGATGCAAACAAGCAGATTGCAATAAAACAATTGTCGGCTGCCGGTGGGCAGAGTTCTTCTGTGGCTGCAACACCAGGAAAGCCGTTGACTTGTTCAGCCAGTATCTCTGAATGTAGACAAGAAGTATCTGGTTTGTCTTCATTGAAGAGTGATGCATCTGCAGCAAAGGTTAAAGCAGGCTCACCTGAGCTTCCTGCAACCTGCAAGGAACTAAATAAGAAAACCACCTCTTCCGCAGGGAGCACTAAGGCAGAAATGACTACGAGTGTTTCACTGATGGCCTTGCACAGTACTGCTGTTGTGGTAGAAGCCCATTACCCTGCTTCAAACCTTGGTGGGAAACCTGGAAGTCAAGAAAAGTCTTTTTTTAACACTGTGGATGCAAAGGGAAAAGATGCCATTCAGGCTCAGCAGTCTGCTTCAAGAAAACAGAATGTAGGCAAAGATCTGTCCAGGTCAGCAATCACACCAGACCGCCCTAACGCGCTTTTTGATGACAAAGACTCAGTGCGGCAGCGGCGGGGAAAGGAAGCTTCACGGAGCAGCCCTCACAAAAAATCCAGTTAACTCCAAGACCTGGCAGGTCTGAATTCAAGACTGGTTGAAACAATATCATTATATTTGACTGCCTTTAAACCAGCACTGTGTCATGTCTTTGTGCAGCAAATCTTTCATGTCACTGAAGAGAGAACAAGGGGATATATAAAGAGAGGACTTTATTTCAAAATGCCTTTCCAATTGTAACCGGTAAAACTGTTACCATATAGTATTTGTACAAAAATACCTTTACAGCTGAAAGCTGTTGAAGAAAATATTTCCTCTGTAAATACCTAGCAATGTGTTTGGGGTTTGAATGTAGCATATATACTTTGCTGCTGATTGCATTGTTTACTCTTCCCTTTTTTAAGATCGTTGCTTTGCCACTTATTGCCATACTCCAGTATGAAACAGAATTGTTAAAACTCAGACCTGGAACAAGCATTGGTCTGACTGGAAAACAAAAACAGGCCACATTTTTACTTACTAAAATTCTAGCTAGAAGTTAAAAAAATACTAGTACAGAATAAACACAGTGACTTATTGTGAGTTTTTACATGTATTTTTAATAATCCAGTTTTGATAGTACTGTACCTGACTGACTGCTTCGCCAGATCTGTCACAAGACCTAATTGCATCTCCCTACCACATGAAGTCTGTCTCTTAGAGTAAGTGTTGTTAAAGCTGCAGCAGGACCACTTGGTTATCAGGGTGTCCCAGCAAGAGTCATGTTCTCTGGTGAAATGGTGGTTCTTGTCTTGTCTATTGGAAGTGCGTTCTGTGACCTTCACCTCAGACAAGGCTGAGACTCAAGCACGTATCATGTGCTTAGTTTTTGCTGCAATCCTCTCTTGAGTTCCTTGAGCTTTTCTAAGTTCAGGTCCTTACAGAGTGAGGCACAGGTATAAGCACATGACTTGCAGTACTAATATGTTCATCCCCTTTTTTTAATGTATTTAGAGAATACGTATTATGGCATATAGGTCTGCATAATTAGCTTCATACAGTTGTAGCTTTTTTCTGTTTTATGACAAGCAAGGTAAAAAGGAAAAAAAAACAGTTTCAGTATCATATCTTCAAAAAAGTTCAGGACATCAATACATTTTAATACATAGCTGGGGCCTTATGTTGTAGACTTAACTTGCTGTTTTTAGCAAGTAATTCCAGGTTTCACATTCATGTTTAAATGCATTGAGTAGCTCCATACATTTCACAACATAACCTTTTTATTTGTATGCAAAAAAAGCAAATACTGTAATTATAAAAGAAGCATTTTGTAACAAAGGAACCTGTTGGAGCTATTTGGTGCTAGAATGTGACTGTATTTTTACTTTTGCTAAGCCTTATTTAAATTTTGTATACTGTGGAACATGTAGACATTGCTCATTTTAGCATGGATAGTTAGTGTAGGTATTTAGTTTGAAGGATGAAAGGTAAACTTTGAAATATGTACAGAAGCACTACAAAATACTCTTGCAGATACATGTTTTTTAACGATGGGGATAAACAGAATGGTAGTTTGGCTTATTTTTGTTATATGTACCCACAGTAGAGCTAGGCTCCTGCCTGTTTCATCAGGGCTTACAGATTGTCTTTCTGTCTCAAAAGCTAGAAAGTTTTTCATAAAAGCACAGTTTAATCTTCACTTGGAAGATTGTATGGGAACTGATAGTGTGCAGAATTTACTTCCCTCTGGTGAAATCTTTATCATACTGATTAGTTGAGTTGGATTACCACAAACATGCCATGGAAAGATAATACCACAAACAAGTCCTTCAGATTTTTCATATGGCTCTAGAACATCCATACTTGCCTTCAGTATGTTCACAGAGGAGCTCATGAGCAACGGATAATATTTTGGGGCAGTTTTAAAGGTGGAATGGTCTCGACATTTACAGTTCATCTGTGCTTTGGCAGTTAATACGAATGAATGCTAATGCACTTCGAAACAACATTTCTGTCTGGGAGGTGTTTCCTAGTTTACAGTCTTCTGCATTTTTTTCAACTATCCTCTTGTTTCCATTAAAGCATACCTAGCTATTTGTTTACAGTATACCTTTAAGTATATTTTGTATAGTTTATTATCACTTCTGACAAGTAAGTTCTTCGCATTTTGGAAGTGTAACAGATCTTAAGCTTGTGTTTATGTAGTACCTGTTTGTTGGTGTTAACCTTATCAGTAAGCTGTTAGAAATCCTCCTGCCTGTGTTCTACTTGTTCAGTCTTTATGTGATTGTAGATCTGATGTGTTCTTTTGTAGACCTCCTGCTGTAGATGCCTCAGCTTACAAAGAAAAAAAAAAATTGTTAGGGTTTGTGCAATAAAGTGTTTGCAGTCTTATTTTCTCTAAGAAACTCCTTATGGATGTCATAATTGTTGTATATTGAACACGATTATTTATACTTATGCAGTTGCATAACATTGAAATAAAAATCCAGCATGAAACATTGTTGTGTTAGCATTTTTTCTTGAGCTGCTTCAAGGAGCTGCCTTTTCACCTGTCCTGTTCAGAGTAAAGTCGTCTTCCAAAAATTGACTTTTATCTTACAGATGGTGTCTTTTTTAAGCCCAGTTGGGGAAGGAAGAACTTGGTTCTTAGATTATGTTTGTCAAATTAAAGTTTAATACTACAAGTCTCTGAAATGTGACTTGTTACTTGCTCAAGTTTTGGAGTTTTCTGTGCACCATGACTTCAGTGACAGCTAGGATGGTGGTGAGTTCAATCCTACTAGGCACCATTCACCTCAGGCCCTTGTTCTCTCTCTGTGCTGGATCCCCAGCTGTATTTGAAAAAGTAAGAGATAAAAGGCGTGACTGGAAACCAAAGATTGCAGCAAATCAAAGCCTGAATGGGTAAGCAAAGTCTATGAAGAAAAATACATCTGCATCTTCTTTATAACCTAGATAAGTAATCCTAGAAGATTGAATTTTTTGCCTTAAATAAGTTTTAATATATATATAATCTGAACATGAGTATATTATAGCCGTATATAAATTTTCCTTCAGTATAATTAGTGCCAGTCTCTAGGATTTGTATATCCTGAAACCTACAGTGTATACTGTCAGCACTGTTGTTTGCACAGGGTCCTATGAATGGTATTTTGCAGGCAAATAAAGCAGAGATGACACTAAAGTAAATTAAGGAGTAAAGAATTAAAACAGATTAAGATAAGGTCATTTAAACTAATTTTGTAGAGGGAAAAAGATTGGTTGGAGGAAAGGCAACACTCAATACTATGTGCAAATATATTTTGCATAGGAATATATTAATAATTTAGCCTTTTCAGCTGTTGTTGAGCTTTTACCAACAGGTCTATGCATGGGCCTACGCCATGACACTGGGTAGGGTTTCAGAAACTCTTGGTGATTAAATACTTTGTTCTCTCCAAAGAGGCATTTCAGAAAGCCTTAGCCCAGCATGCAGTTTTCCCCTCAAGTCGCTTAGATTTGTGGATCTTTCACAGTTACTACCAGATACTTGCTGTGTTATTTTTTTTATTGCGCCTATCTCAAGCTATGGATTGTGTCGTGATCCCTTTTAACTTTACTATTTGTCTGTCACTTTCCTGAACACGTGAATGTAGGAGGGAAACAGTGGAAGAAACATGTCTCCCTTGGATTGTGCACACGCTTTCATTCATTCTGGATTGTCGGATAACACAGTTATTTGAAATTGCTCATTTAACCAGTGTTACGGTTTGGGCCCAAAACGACAAAGCAGCAGCCACGTGACCGGTCACTGAGTTTCCACACACCCTTTCCCTCCCCCAGGCACACACACTCTGGGATGGGGAGGACAAAGGCCAACTGGAAGCTGATGGGTCAAGACAAAGGACAAGGAGGGCTCTTCACCGATTAAGGTCCCGGGCAAAACAGACTCAACTTGGGGAAAGAATAATAATTTAATTTCACACTAATCAAACACAGCCAGGACACAGACAACACACAGAACAGGGCTTGCATATGTTACCCCACTCCTCCCTTCTTCCTGGGCCCAAATCACTTTGTTCCTGGTTTCTCTCCCTCCTTCCCCCCAGCGGCACAGGGGGACAGGGGATGGGGTTTAGAGTCAGTTCACAGGCTGGTGGTTCCTGCTGCTCCTTCCTCCTTGGGAAAAGGATTCCTTACAGTCCTCCCCTGCTTCCCCATGGGGTCCCTCCCATGGGGCAAACAGGAGATGTGCCTGAGGGCTGGAGGAAAGCCAGTGTCACTCCAGTCTTCAAAAAGGGCAACAAGGAAGATCCATGGAATTGCAGACCAGTCAGTCTTGCCTCCATCCCTGGAAAGGTGATGAAGCAGCTCATTCTGGAGGCTGTCTCGAACTACATGGGAAAAAAGGTTTATCAGGAAGCCAACATGGAACTTACTAAGGGAAAATCTTGTTTTACTAACCTGATAGCCTTCTGTGAAGGCATGACCATATGGGTAGGTGAAGGGAGAGCAGTGCATGTCATATACCTTGACTTCAGTAAGGCTTTCGATGCTGCCTCCTGTAACATCCTCATAGGAAAACTCAAGAAATGTGGGATAGATGATTGGACTGTGAGGTGGATCGAAAACAGGCTCAACAACAGAGTTCAAAGGATTGTGTTCAGTGGTAGAAATTCAAGTTGGAGGCCTGTGGGCCTCCCCAGGGATCAGTACTGGGCCCAGTTTTGTTCAATATTTTCATCAGTGACCTAGATGAAGGGACAGAGTGTATCCTCAGCAAGTTCATGGATGATACCAAACTGGGAGGAGTGGCTGACACACCAGAGGGCTGTGCTGCCATCCAGCGTGACCTGGACAGGCTGGAGGGCTGGGCAAAGATGAACCTCATGAAGTTCAAAAAGGACAAGTGTAGAGTCCTGCATCTGGGGAGGAATAACACCCGGGACCATTACAGATTAGGGATCATCCTTCTGGAAAGCAGGTCCATGGAGAAAGACCTTGGAGTACTAGTGGACAAGTTCGGACAGCAATGTGCCCTTATGGCCAAGAGGGCAAATGATTTCTTGGGGTGCATTAAGAAAAGTGTATCCAGCAGGTCT